AAACCCTAAACCCTAAACCTACAGACGCCAAACCCCCGGAGCCGGCCCTGAACCCAACACCACCCCGGAACCATCAGCCGGATTCGCAGAATCTCTCAAGCGAGGAACCCTACAAAAACTCCCCAAATCCTCTGAAACCTTGAAGTTCCCGAAACCCTAAACCCCCAAACTCTGAGCCTACTTGGAGGTTCATGGGACTTAATAGGTACAGTTATAAGTACCTTAATTGGGGTTATAAGTGATTATAAGCATAGTTACCTTGTTTATAACCCCAGTTACTAAGTGCCATGAACCTTTAAGTACGGCCTCCTGAACTTGGTCAGACTCCAGTGGGAGGCAGTCGCTCATCCACTGCTCAACAGCGGAGACCACAGGGCGGAAGAGGCTGCGCTCCTTGGCGAGGTTTTGGAGGATTTGTCCTTGAGAGTGGCTGACGGATCCACATTCCGCAGTGGAAACATCAGGCAGCTTACTTGGGGTATGTTTGAGGATGCGGGAACCCTAACTGGGATTGTCCGACTATGCCCCGCCTTTTAACAACCGGCGATACCAAGTGCCCTGATCCTTGACGTAAATCGTGAACAGCCGCGAAAAGGTCACAAAGCCGGAAGGCCCTTCTGAAACACACTGTAGGGTTCAGGCTTCGGGCGTAGGTTCGACTTGAAGGCTTTGGATTCAGTGAATGTATCTGAACCCACGGCTCCCTTCATGCCAACGAGTGGTTCCCAATGCATAGCAGGCCTGCAACCGAAATCCCTGAGCTAAACCCAAACCAAACAAACCCCAAACCTAAAAACATCAAAAGGCTTCAACGTCTCAACATCTGCAAAAGGGTTTAACCCTAAACCCAAGCGCGCCAAGGCTCTGTAACATTGAACCTCTGCAGAACTTCCGCAGACTGCTTGGCCACCAAGGTCTGCAGCTTTTGTTCCACCTCTGGTCGTCGGATCCTTGACTTGCTCGGGTTTAGGGTTTAGGGTTTAGGGGACTCGAAGCTAAGTCCTTATACAAAACCCAAAAAGAAAATCCGAAATCCCAGAAATCCTGAAGTCCCTAAACTAAAGGCCCCTGAACGTAAAGCCTAGAAGGCCAAACCGGGCGCAAGGTCCTGGAGAAGGTTTGGTCCAATTTTCGTGCCAGCGCTGGAAGCCTCTCCCAGCTGATCAGGACCTCCGTTTAGGCTTTAGGTTTTAGGCTTTAGGGTTTAGGCTTTAGGGTTTAGGGGGTTGAACGATGTTTAGTACAAAGCCGTTATAAAGGACGTCACCTGTTTACAAGTTGTGGCCATTTTGGGGGACCTTAATCACCCT